GTCCGGGATGCGAGGGGTGGCGGCTTCTTCCAGCGGCTGCATCCTTCTCGCCTTGGCCCATGGCGCTTGAAGGGACTAGACGGCCCGGCATCCTGGCCCGACGGCCGTGTAATGGGTGCGGTTCACCGCCAGCCCTGGCTATTTCAGCGCCCCTCCTGTCTCACGCACCCACTCCTGTCGGGAGCCTGGCGAAGGGCGGCGATTAAGGGACGGGGTGATGCTGATAATTAGGGGGAGGCAGCCGACTTGTCACAAAACATTCTCTGTCAACTCAGGTTTGATCCAGAGTTTGTAAGGCACATGCACCTGAAAGTGTGACACGTGCGGCAAACAACCAATCACACGGAACATGGAAAGCATCAGTTTGATTGACTTCTCACGAGAGTCAGTGCAATTCACTTCTCTGTTGAAGATGAAGAGATTGTTATCAAAAAAATTCCATGAATTGAAACACATTTACAAGGCAGGAATAAACACTGCTGCAGTGAAAATTTGAGAAGGCAGCTACTGACTATATCAATGCAAGTGAATCTACTGAATTTAAATAATTTACATTACAAGGAGCTCAAAAGAAAACAAGCTTCATCAGTTTAAAAAGCTTTATGTACTGTACATTGTATTTATGTGTATATTGTTATAGCATATTAATTTGAATGCTAAGTTTAATATTAATTTGTTAACTCATATAATTATATTAATATATTATATGAATTATACAATTATAATCTATAAAATATAAATATAATAAATAATTAGCAGCAAAAGATTTGTCTCTAAAATTTGATCACTATAAACTTTAATTTGTAGTGAGACATAAAGTGGGGTGGCTTTATTCCATCAGATATGTTACTTTGCTCAGAGCTGATTGGTCCAGCTTTGGTTTGTGATCTCTAACTCAGAATAAAACCTGCTCTGGAGCAGGGTAGCCGTGTAGCGTAAGTTACCATGGTGACCAACCCACCTTCTTGAGCCTGAAAACTCAGAGTTTGCTCAAACTAAACACAAACTTACCTGGGTAAAAACTGAAACCGGCTTCGTGCTACAGGCCACAGATCTGGACACGGATTGGGGGCGAATGGAAGACCGCTAACACCTACAGACCGCTGTGAATGGTCATGCCATATGAGTTAGTAAACGCCCCATTCGTATTCCAAGGATTCATTAATCATGAACAAGGTTTTCTGGGAGTACCTCGACTGTATTGTCTTGGTCTATATTGACATCCTGGTGTACTTTAGGGATTTAACAGTTCAAGTTTCTTATGGTTCGGTACGTATTGTGGTTTTGGGGTCACGGTTTTGGTACATTTCGGTATGAGGGGTAAGGTGGAGTATTAGTGGTTATAGAAATTTCCACAAGAATACTCTACAATTTGCTAAAAATAAAAAATAAAAAAAATGTATTCATTTAAAAGTTTGACTTAAAGGGATAGTTCACCCAAAAATGAAAATTAGCCCATTATTTACTCACCCTCAAGCCATCCTAGGCGTATATGACTTCCTTCTTTCTGATGAATCCAATCGGAGTTATATTAAAAATGGACTTTGATCTTCCAAGCTGTTTAATTGCAGTCAGCGGGTGTTGCAGTTCATCAGTCCAAAATAAGTGAAATAAAGCGCATCCATCCATAATAAAAAGTGCCTCACACGGCTCCGGGGGGTGAACAAAGGTCTCCTGTAGCGAATCGATGCATTTTTGTAAGAAAAATATCCATATTCAAAACGTAATAATCACTTTAATCTAGCTTGCGCCAACTGTTGTACACTGGAAGCAGCTCCGGGAGGATGACGTAAGATGTCGGCGTTGCCCATGCGCCAGTGAGTCTCGTGAAAACCAACATTTGTTAACAGGAGCAAAGGAAGCAAAGTTTCCTCACTTTAGCAAAGGAAAACCAGTCTCCTCTTGGCTTATATCGAAATCCTCAGACATTCTTCTTTACAAATCCTCGTTTTGTACTTCTAATTCATGACCGTTGTTTTGTTTTGATCTCTCCCCTGGGCTTCCACGTTTGTCACTTCTGCGCGGCGCATGCGCAACTGTCAAATTATTGTCTGGATACCATTCTCAGACCAATGGGCAAACAGAGAGGAAGATCCAGGAAATTGGGCACTTTCTTTGCACCTATTGCCAAAGCCACCAAGCTTCCTGGCACCGGCTCCTTGCATGGGCCAAGTATGCTCAAATTCTCTTCATCCTAACAGAGACTGGATTAACACCATCACGAAACTCTCAACGGTGAATCATTGGTTCTAGGAACAAAAAATGTTTTTTTGTAATCATACAATTTTGGTACATAATAATTAACATACAAGCATCTATAATGCATGAAAATAACTTTTTTTACTTCTATTTTTGATAAATTCATGGTTTATATCAGATGGTCAATGTGCTATTATAACAAGTAAGCTGCACATTTTACACCCATGAACAGACAAATAATAATTTTTTGATAAACCGAAAAAATCCAAAAATAAATTGATACACTGTTCCTATTCAAGCTATAGCTTTTTGCGTTGTGGTGACAAACTTGAGTCTTTGCTTTTCTTTTTAAAATTCAGTGTGTTGCATGTTCTCTGGCTTTGTCTTTGGTGTTTGGACTTTCATTTTGTAGTGTATTTTCTTTGCATTACCTTTGTGTATTACCTTTGTTTTGGTGGGTGTCATGTAGGCTACAAAAATGTTTAATGGGACTGAATTTGTATTTAACGTGATTACAATTTAATAAAAACTTGAAATTGATAATTATATAACGTTTCCTTTCCACGGTTATTCAAACAGCGAATAAATTATATATAGAAAGTGACATCACTAACATTGATCTATCACGAGTTTAAGCACTCCCAAAAAAACAAAACTATTGTTATAATCACTGAAGCTGTATACACTGTGAAATTAATCTCTTACTTACATTGTACATACATCTGCGCTTTGTTGTTTATTATGAGAGAATTCGCAAGAGTCCAGAATTCAGTCAGCGAACGCGCGCGCACTCAACAAGACTGTTCTGTTTCAACGATGACTCATCTGAACGCTTCTGATTGGTCATTGCATTCCTAAGCTCAACAGAATCGTGTGTGATTGGTTCAAATGCGCAACACTGTAAAAACACCTAAAATGAAATACGGTGCAACATGAGCAGATCTTAATTTAATGTCGCAATCGACGCTGTCTATTCATATTCACTTTGTTAGCATCAGACGTAATAGATTTAATTTATTTGTGCAGGGGCATTTTTGCCCCAAGTCCCCAGCCTTACACACGCTCCGCCTATGTTTATATGTTTTTCTCTATATTTCTATTTCTGTATATAGTGCATTATTTATTTTTCAGTTTTTCTTACATTAGTGTTATTTCATCTTGACTGTGTAATTCTATGCATGTCTGCACTATCATGTATGTTTGCACTATGTGTGTACTTTCTTCTGCACTGGAAGCTCCTGTCGCCAAGTCAAATTCCTTGTGTGTGTAAACATACTTGGTCATAAAGCTCCTTCTGATTCTGATTCTGATTCTGATCTAGACTGTAATTTACTGAAAGAATACACTGAATGTATTTTTCCATTAGACCTAATATAAATTTATCAAATTTTTTTTATATTAAGCAATCTTACTGTTACAGTCTTACAGTTCACTTGTAGCAGTTTTGTAGCATTTCAGCATTTCTTTGACCATTTTTAATTTCTGAATTAAAATGTATTTTGATATTTTCTTGGAGGTATACAGCAAAAAATATTGGTGTGATACAACCATCCTGATTTCATAATGAAAAAAAAAAAGCCTTATTAAAAGAAATAAAGTTTTGAATAGAAAGCATTATGAAGTAGTTAGACAATCTTTTATTATTTCCTAGAATTTTTTTAAACACTCTTATAAGTAATTGACCCAATTTCAGGTGAGCTTAATGAATCATTTTGGGGAAACAAAGGGTGCTTTATAAAGCCTGTTTCACAATAAGATACAATAAGACTGTATAAATATTGATCAACTTTAAAATCTCTCAGATCTAGCAAGTGACTGTAAGGCTTACACATCATATTGGCTAAACATGCAAAACACCTACACTGTAAATAAGTGAAAAACCGGATGCAGTGGTTGCCAGAGTGAACAGTGATGTGGCAATGATGTTTCAGGCATTTTGGTGACTGTATATTTTATTTACATTTCCTAACTGTACTAAATGTACATATCCGTGTGAACATTTTAAAATATGTTACAGTATGTGTACTGATATTAACACAATTGTTACAAAAGAACATGATGATTATGTTTTATCAGTTTTGGTTATATATATGCTAAATTCAATATAGACAAATGTGGCAGTTCTCACAGAGAATCCTGGTAATGGCCTTTAATGGAATTATGTTCTATAAATGATTGTAAATTAATGCCTAATAAATGCTCACCCAATACATTAAGGCAGAATTTTAGTGTAGTGTGCATTAACTTTACATACATACATTATTTTAAAACAGATTAGCATTAACTGTATATGTATTGTTTAAACAATTAAGTAGTTTAACTGTAATATTAATAAAGCAATTCTCTATTTTTAACATTTGTACATGTAGCCTCTTTGAAATACTTGAAACTAGACTATACTTTAAATACTTGGAATATTATTATTTTTTACATTTCAAAATGTACTATACAACCTTCTGCTAAATACTATTGAGTATTTAGATTAGTATTATTAGCATTAGTATAATTGAGAATTGAGATTGGAGATTAGTATATAGCATTGAGATTCTAAAATCAAAGATACTGTGAAAAAAAAAAAAAAAAAATTGCATCAACTCCCAAGAAAATTTTCAGGAAGTTTGAAGTGTTTGCACAAGATTACATATTACACATTTACTCATTTTTACACATATGTCTTTACTTTCAAAATATGTTTAAGGGAACAATTGCAGGGAAATTCGTATCTGATTGAGTAATCAGAAAACAAACCGTATAAATATGGATCAGCTAGTCAAAAGCTACATGTTCACTTTTGACAGCAACAGCAGAAGCATGTTTTCTCTCAGTCTCCTCCTGCTCACCTGTAAGTTTCTTTCATCTAATTAAATAGAAAAATCAGATGCACGGTGAACACTAATGTATAGTTGCACTTTTAGACATTTGAACAGCTCTGTTCTGGGTTAAGTTTAGGGTTGAGGATGGTGTGAATGGCTTTAAGATTAGCATTGCACAGGGATTTTAATCATTTATCTTCTGTTGTTTTCTTACAGTGGTGCTTCTGAACTCCAGATTGCTGATATCTGCAGGTATTTCATTTATCCATGAACCACATCAACAATCAGCAGTTAAACAAAGATTACCTAATTGTTAAGTCCAGAAGATCAGACAACAGACTGTATGCATAAATACTGATTAACTTACACCAAAATCTGTCAGATCTAGCATGCAAAACCACATGCATTGCAAAAATGTAAAAGACTGGATGCAGTGGTTGCCAGAAGAACGTTGTTTCTTCTTATTATTATTATCATCACTACTAAGTATTTTCCCAATGTAGTATCTGGAGTTTATTGTTCTCTACCCTACAGTTTATCAATCTCACCTTGTTACAAATGACTCTTTAATTTTTCAGAGACTGTAGTTACATGTGATGGGTTTGTCCAGCGTCTCAGTTGTGGTAAGATGTGTCACAATAATCTAAAGTTATTTATTATGTATTCTATTGTTATTGTTGTTGTTTTAACAGTAATTCATTATGTACTGATGTTTTTTTTCTGTTCAGATACTGGGGTGATCAGTGTACAATCAGCAACCTGTGGCCGCACAAGCAGCCAAATTTGCAGCGTTGGACGACCACCATCTGAAACATCTAATACTCAGTGTTCAATAGATGTCCCTGCGGTCTTCAAACGGTAAGATATTTTTCATTGTCTTTTTGCTTGTGACTACAGCCAGAAAAATGATGGGTAGAATTATGACTCTGTTGCTTACTCTGTGGTTAGCATACTTATTAGTATATATTGCATTATATTATTTATGTCTTTATCCTTAAACAGGTGTAATGGACTGAGAGAGTGTGAGTTAAACACTCAAGGACTGGCACCAAAAGATCCATGTTTTGGCACCTACAAGTACTACACTACCAACTACATTTGCATCCCAGCAGGTTTGGACGTTTTCTATCTCTTCCTCCAATTCCAGTTCTTTATAATTTCCTCCTCTGTGTAAATGTTTTCTGTCCTTCTTCCAGAAACAAGTGTGACTTGTCACGGTGGATACAGTTATTTGAAATGTGGTGAGTGATTTTTCCACATCTCTCACATTGTTTCAAAAAATGGAGTCATGTGGATTACTTTAAGGACTACTATTTTTTATCTCCATGTAGAAAATGGTGAGATTCAGATAAATACTGCAAACTATGGACGTACAGATAAAACCACCTGCTCTGAAGGACGTCCATCCAGTGAGCTCCAAAACACCAACTGCTATTCACCCAATGCACTGGCTCCTGTGTCCAAAAGGTAGGTAGATTTAAAAAAAATTTAAGTTCATGATCTTCTTTCAGTCTAAGCTCACAGGGAACGTTCTGGCAAGATTAATGAACGCTCTTCCAGTAATGTTATTATAATGTTTGTTTAAAGATGTCTTTTTAATAGCATTCTCAAAACATCAGCACAAAAATTGTATTTATAAAATGACCATGGAATATTTTTTTCTGAAACATTTTAGTTGGATATTAGTCTAACTTTTTTAAACATTCCTACTTATTACTTTCTAGAACATTCAAAAGTAACATTTCCATTAGAATGTTCTGTTAACGTTTTCTTTAACATTCACATAACTAAGAAAAAATTTTTTAAAAACATTTTAAAACTTTCAGAGAACAGTCAGAAATAATGCTTTGTTAATGGCAACGTCAGGAAAATGTTTTTAGAACATATTTTTTTGTTAGCTGGGATAAAGATGCAAAGACTAATGTAAGCCTTCCTTTTTTGACATGTAAAGCTGCAATGGCCTGGAAAGTTGTGAGGTGTTTGCGACACATACAGTCTTTACTGATCCCTGCGTTGGCATATACAAGTACCTCGCGATCTCTTATTTTTGCCTCCCACCTGGAGTTCGTGAGTATTTATTATCAAATTTGCTCAGTTCTTTATAGTGTGTTTAGAATATTTTGATTTAAGAGACTTTTAAAACAAGAGCCTTATTTAGTACGGCACATTATTCAAAGTTAAACGTTATTTCTCCCCTGCATTCCAGCAACCCTTGCGAAAAAAGTACGCTTCAGCATACTTTTAAAAAGAGTACTTATCATGGATATAATATACTTTAAAAGAATATACTTAATGTAATGTTTTTGGACATGTATTTGCATGATAATTACAATTAAATGAAAATATATTATAGTTTAGATTTATATTAGATTCAATTAGCTGAACTTAAATTCCAGATGAAATCATAATTGAATTTATTTATTTATTTATTAGTATGAATATGTTAGCCTTAAGGTTTTCTGTAAGTTAGTGTGCTCCAAAACAATGGCAAAATGTGCATTTAGAAGATATAAGCATTCAAAACTTAGTCTTTAACTTCTGCCAATATGAATCAACGATTTTGATGACATCACTCTGCACTTCAGCTTCTCATCAAACTTTCTGTCCAGTCAAATGCTCTCTAGAATCCAAAATACACTTTTAAGATTTAATGTACACTACAAGTGCATATTAATTACTAAGCACACTTTTTTCACAAGGCAAAAGACATAAATATAGGCTACCAGACTCCATTTTAATATGATTTTAAAAGTAATGATCACGGTACACACAGCACACACCATTACTCACTAAGGCCATTTTACATTTATTTTAAATTGACATTTTTTAAAATTGCTTTACAACATCTCTCTGTTTACTGTAGGTTCAAGTATAGTCTGTGAACATGAGACGAGTGCCCTGAACTGTGGTGTGTATTCTGTTCTTACCTAGGTGTTACAGAGTTTTACTTGAGCGTTACTTGAGTTCGTACAGAGTTTGTGACTGAATAGTATGTTTAGAGACTGTAAAATGTTGAATTGATGTTTTCAGATAATGGGTCATACGCATTCACAGCGCTAACTACGGCCGAACTGACAGCAGCACGTGCTCTACTGGACGACCTGCTTCTCAGCTTGCCAAAACTGACTGCTACGCCTTAAATTCACAGACCGTAGTCACTAGTGGGTCAGTTTATTTACAAATTTTCATATGTAATTCAGTCTTTGCCCTGCAGAAAAAACAACAACATAACCCAGATAGGACCAGCTAAGATTTGTGTAGTCTAAGTGTTTTCTCCCGGCAGAGTAATAAAATCACTTTTTAATGAAGTTTTTGTTTCATTAATTCATATTTTATCATTGTGTAGTTGTGAAGGGAAAAACAACTGCTCCATATTGGCCTCCAACAGTGTCTTCTCGGATCCATGTGTCGGCACATTCAAGTACCTGTACATCTCATACTCCTGCGTGTCTAAGTGTAAGTGTGACTGTACAGAGCAATGATACTGCATATGTGTGCTAGTTTTCTAATGTGTTGATCAGTTTTGTTTAGGTTTTTACTCATGAACTCACTCATCAGGATCGACTGATAACAGTTTATTACTGTTAATTTTTTGTGTTTGCAGAGAATGACAGCTGATCTTGTGGATTTGGCCTCTTCAGTTCTCTATCAGCATCTGTTCTATTTTAAATGCGCTGAAACTAAATCTATTTCTGAATTGTTAATGCATCTAATATGGTATTTGCCATCTTTCCTCTTGTAAAGATACGGCAAAAAAGTAGTATGCTAATCTGAATTCAGTCTTTGTGTGCAGATGAAATCATTGGCTGAGACTTTTGCATAAAGCTTTGATTCTCATATGATAAACATTTCTATGGACCTTGCTTGTACACTGTGTTGAGATTTTCCTTACAATAAATGCTTTTCAAATGGGAATGAGGTGTGTGCATCTTCTTCTTAACGCATGTTGATTGTAAACACCAGATTTACCTTATCATCATTTACCAAGTGTTAGGATAAAGTAACATTTACATATGTTACCGACACTGTAACAATACTGTAGCTCTCTTCACGACAACAGACACAGGTTGGTTCTTTAAAACGGGCGTTTTATTCTTAGGGTCGTCTTCTTTATGTCTTTCGCGCCTTTGACGTCTTAACGCCACAACGCCGTGAGAACTGTACACAAGTGAAAACAGTACAAATACATCAAACACAAAATGGCGCTTAGCGCTATTATGAACACTTTCGTTACATTTTACAAACAAATACCTCATTGGCCGCTTGTCATGAAAAGAGGTCTTTGAGTTTATGAAAATCTTCTTTACTGTCCTTTTGGCTTGCGACAGCACTGATTTTAAACTTAAACGTATTTAACTTAGCAGAGCCTTGTGATGCGTCTGCTCATCATCAGTCCATCAGGGCGACTAACAAGCACGTCATTTCCGTTAAAGTGACGCATTCTCGCGCCTTATGTTTTAAAGTACACCAAATGAAGCTGAACTGAAGTCTATGAACAGCATTCTGACGTATGAGTCTTTTTTGTCCAGGTGTGTGAGTGCTGAGTGGAGGGTAGTGGCGATGGCGTCATCGGTCGAGCGGTTGGACCGATATGCAAACTGGAAGGGGTCCGGGGCGGGGGGCAGACTTGATGTGTTGCATGACTAGCCGTTCAAAGCACTTCATGATGATGGGGGTAAGTGCAACTGGACGGTAGTCATTGAAGCAGGATGGAGACGACTTATTTGGGACTGGAATGATGGTGGTAGCTTTGAAGCATGTGGGGACAACAGCCTGACTTAGCGAGATGTTGAAAATGTCTGTGAAGACATCAGTGAGTTCCACTGCACAGTCTCTCAGTACACGCCCAGGAATGTTGTCAGGACCCGGAGCTTTGCGTGCATTGATCCTGCTGAGGGATCTCTTCACGCTGTCCGGGGACAGCGTCATCACCTGGTCGCCGGGTGGAGGTGGAGTCTTCTGTGCAGTGGTGCTGTTTTGTGCCTCAAAGCGAGCGAAGAAGACGTTCAGCTCGTTCAGCAGGGAGATGGTGCTGTCACAGGTGCGTGGTGGGGGCTTGTAGTCCGTAATGGTCTGTATCCCCTGCCACAGGCTCCGACTGTCTCTGCTGTCGCTGAAATGATGGGCTATCCTCCTGGAGTACTGTCTTTTTGCCTCTCTGATGCCGCGGGAAAGGTTGGCCCTAGCTGTCTTCAGGCCCACCTCATCTCCAGCTCTGAAGGCAGTGTTCCACGTCTTCAGGAGTCCGTAGACCTCCCCTGTTAGCCACCTCCCTCTGGTTGGCCCGGACAGTGATGGTCTTTGTGACTGTTACATCATCAATACACTTGGTGATGTAGGCAGTGAAAAGTGACGCATTCTCGCGCCTTATGTTTTAAAGTACACCAAAGGAATTTACATCACATTACAACTCATTTACATTTTTAAATTGAACCTCAAATGAATTAATACAAGAAATTATGGAGTTAATTACAAAGAATTAATTATGAAACAAATATACAGAACATCTGCATGACAGCACTTACACTCCCACCAAAATCACTCATTTACTTGAAATGTGGGATTTTCCTTTAAACAAATATATTGAAGTAAAATCAACAACAATCAAATTTCAGGTGTACATGAGTGTAACTGTGTCATGTGTCTGACTTAATTGGCCTCAATTAAAGTAACTACCTTGTGGATAGGCCTTTCTAAGTAAACTGATCTAGTGTGTGGTTTTCCTTTAAGAAATGTAGTGTCACTGACTAGTAGCTTCAGCTTTCGCAAAATGCCATCGGCACTAGGGTAAGATTCCACTACCCTGGCAAGCTTCCATTCATTTCTTTGAGCGCTGTCATCTTGTAGTATTACAATGTCATTTACTTGTGAATTTCGTGATGTTCTTTGCCATTTCTTGCGTTGTTGGAGATTTAATAGATATTCACGTTTCCATCGCTGCCAGAATTCATTTGCCAGGAACTGCACTCTTCTCCACCTCTTGCGCAGATAGAGGTCTTCTTTACTGAACTTTCCTGGAGGTGGCAAAATTACTGACGGAAGCTCATAAGAAACAACCTCATCAAAATCTGATGGTAGATAGCTTCTTGGAATCTTCAGGACAGCCAAGTGAGGCAAGTCTCGAAGCCACGACTCCCACTGTGGTAGAATATGCTCGGGGAGATCTTCATCCTAGCTTACTTTATCTTTACACAATTATTGAAGAATCTGTTTACCAACTAGTAGAAAAGGTGCAACAAAACCTAGCGGATCATAGACAGAGGCCACCGTTGAGCGAACTCCTCTTCTTGTGAGTGTAATTATGAAACAAATATACAGAACATCTGCATAACAGCACTTACAAATACAAAGCTGGTATAACTTATCTTTCATTGAAAAACTAAATGCTAAGTAATCCTTACAACCTTGCAAACCTTTTTATACAAAATTCGCCAACTGTAATTCCCTTTTTGGTAACCTACATTACAGTACTACTGTTTTGTATTTGAATAAAGGGGTGGGCGACTGGGCTTACAAAAAATTTAATCGTTTCACTCCGAGCAGGACCAGTATTTTAATGTTTCTGTTCATGCGTTCCTTCTGTATTATTACCGTTCCGAAAGTGGTTTGAGCAGAAAAAAATACTAGTTAATAATGTCATTTTTTTTTTACTTTTTTTTTTTTTACCAATAATAATAATAATAATAATAAAAGTTATAATAATAATAATAATAATAAATAGTACAGCGTTTTCTTAAAAAAAACAAAAAAACACGAGAGTCTATCTTGCATCTAGTCATAGTCAATATACAGCATCAACTCTTATAAGATTTTGGCCAAATGTATTAAACGAAAGGAAAAACTGTAGGCTAACACTTTAAAGGGGTTCTATTATGCTCTTTTACAAAGTCTTGATTTTGTTTTGGGGGTGTACTAGAACAGGCTCTCATACTAAGTTGTTCGAAAAACATTATTTTTCACATATTTTACATTATTACAATGTTATCCTCATTATCCTCAGTCTGGCATGAACGGCTCGAATAGTTCCTGTATCAAATGAAAGCCCGCCTTCTGAAATACGAAATGTGCTGTGATTGGTTAGCAAGGCCAGTGTGTGTTGTGATTGGCACCACTCGGCGCCTGGTCGGGA